TGGTAGGGTTATAACCTGACCGTGGTTCACACTTCTCCAGACCTTCCTCCCTGACTGTCACTTAATAAATCAGATAAAAATTCGTCACACTGTACAAGGGTTTGACTACAGATACCACTGTTCACATTTGAATTTGTTAGGGCACGGAAACTGAATACCATATACTTTCTGTCATTTTGTAAGTATGCTCTACTTTGTGTTGGCTCATCATGTGAAATTGGACAGCTTTCCAAGCCATACTCTTACTTTTATTTTTTTATTCTGCCAATAAATTGTATCATCCTGTCCGATCCCTTGCTGGTCTGATATGATTGTTGTTGGGTTTTTTTTATCTTCCATCATAGAAGACATCAGTAGTGGTAAACTCAGCTACGGTCAAACTGACTCAATGAGAACATAAGTAATTCAAAGGAAAATGACAAAGACAGTGTTGAGTTCTTAAGGTTCATAAGATGATTTTCACTACTGGCTCTTCCATCACCAAGAGTCCGAGGATTTAAGACGCTCTTGCAATAAAACGGAAGGAGACTTTCCTGGTAAAAGGTCTTTCAACCCACAGCCACGCTGGCTTTGAGGGAGGAAGGCAACTTTTTCCTGGTGTGTGGAACAGAAAGCTGCTCCAGGAGACTGGGAACCAGAGACATAAGTGGGACTGTCAGCCTATAACGCAATTCCAAATAACATTTAAAAAAAATGTCACGTTTTATTATTGTCAGGCAAAAAGAGCTTTCTTTTTTTCCTCGTTGCAACTCCGAAAGCGGGTCTCCATCAGCAAGACAGATCATATTGAAAGCCTTAGAGGTGATGGACTGGTGACCCGTCCAGACTCCAGTCCAACTTTTAAAAAAAATATCATTTGTTACAAGTGATCACGTTAAGTGCATGCAAGTAAATATATTAATATATCAAGTTGTTGTGTAAGAAAATGTAAATACAGAAAATTTGACAATTTGTGCAGGTTATTTTTCAGTGATATTATCATTATCATTATTCCTATTATTCCTATTATTATTATTATCGTTGTTGTACAGCTCTGGAGAAAATTGACAGACCACTTAAAATGATCGGCTTCTCTGATTTTACTGTTTACTTGTCTATGTCTGAGTAAGATTAACTTTGCTCTTTTATTCTATGAACTTCTGTCAACATGTCTCCGAAATTTCCAGCAAAAATGTTAGCATTTATTTGCAGAAAATGAGAAATGGTCAAAATAATAACAACAAAGATGCAGCGTTTTTAGACCTCAAATGACGCAAAGAAAACAAGTTTGTATTAAGCTGGAATCAACAACACTAATGTTTCAACTCAGGAAGAGTTCAGAAATCAATAACCAGGAGGTTAGGTAAGACAGAAACATAGAAGAAGAAAGAGACTGATGCAGAATAGCAGTGAAACTAAACTCAAATCAAAGCGCCAAAACAACTCAAGACCCAGGATCTTTTTTTAACATAATGACTTTGTGTCCTTAAAGCCACAAACGGCATTAATCAGGGCTTTTGTTATTCTAATCCATCCCAGTCTATAGCCGTAGACTGAGAGTTTGTGTTGCTGGAAGAGTTTTTCTCACTGGGAGCTCAGAGGAGGTATGTGTGTGTGTGTGTGTGTGTGTGGGGGTGTGTGGAGTGTGTGGTGTGGGGTGTGTGTGTGTGCACCCCGACCCTGTCCTCCATCTTCCACCACCCGGCCCCATCTGCCCGGCTCGCCTTTACGCCGCAAACAAGCGTTCATCTCCTGCCGCCCTCACAAAACCCTCCCCTCTCACGACAAAGACGTTTTCACCGGCCCTCGTTTGTCGACTTCTCTGGCAGGGCTTCAGTTTGCTTATTTGATTAAAAAAAGAGAGAGAGAGTCATTAAGCAGTTTGCATGGAGGTGGTGGACTGCTGTCTGATGCACAGGAAGAGCCTGTGCCGTCTCCTCCCGAACTTGAACAGGTGCAAAGACAACAGTCAATGCCATCTTTGTGTCAAGCAGGAGGAACTTTGGTCCTGGCGCCACCTCTCCTCTGTCTGTCTTCTGGAAGACTTGAACCACTAACAGGAAGCGGTGACACGCTGCTGAATGGGAAACCATATATTCTTGACTGACACAGGCCACTGAAGTACCTGCTTGTTTTGTCCTCTCTGCTCCCTCGTCGATTCTCACAGACGGCTCTTATTTGTCCAGCCGTTAGTTGCGTTTCTCGCTACGACGAAACGTCACTAAATGACTCACATTATGCTGCCGGGACAGAAGTTGGGTAATTCTAAACAAACATACGTTCATGGTTTTTAAAATAAGAGCATAAAACTTTTATTTGAAAAAAATATGTTGTTTTTTTTTCTTGATGTTAAATTAATCAGAATGTCATGACAGTAATATATGAGATGGATAATCAAGTCACACTTCCTCCCAGTTCTAATAATGCCGTTTGAAAAAATGCAAAACTACCAATCAGAGGCAGGAGGAGGGTCTTGGTGCCATCAAGCTCATGTATTTGCTGCTAAATATTATGATTGCTAACAACTTACCATGTCAGGAAAACTGTTCATCCACTGTCATCGTTGGCTATGCTAGCTCGCTTTAGCATTCATGACAGGCTTTGTTGCTGTCGCGTGGCATAACGGATGGGGTAGGATGTGAGCAGCACATACACAAGAGTGACTGGCAATACTATGACCCTCCTCCTGGCTCAGTTGAGCTAAATTTTTTTCACAGATTATCTGTCTTTCATAAAACTGTCACAGTATACACATTTTAAGATATATGTAAAAACTTTCTACATTAAAAAAAATAAATAAAAGGTACATACCTAAAGTTTAAGTCTTAAATTAAGATCTTTTTTTTCTTTGGATTGAAGGAAATGAGGACTGCCATTCTGATTCATATGTTGTTTTTTTTTTCATTTAATAATTATTTTTTGTAAGCTTGTAAAGTTTTGGTCTGGAGAGTGATATTAAAAATACTAGATCAATATACATATTTAAGAAAACGGTAAAAGTTAGTTACATTTTTGTTTGTTTGTTTCCTTATTTTGTTTGTTTGGTTGTTGTTGTTTTTTTGCAGAAATATGAAATAGAATAATGTGAATTCCATACAATTTTTTTTTTTGTCTAATTTTGCTTTTTGTAAACCATCATTTTATTAAATTTTTTTTTTTGGAATAAGAAAGTTCAGACGATTCAAGATTTGTTTGAACATTTCTGTGCTGGGGGTCACAAACACTGCTTTTTAAAAAAAATTTTCCCACCTCACTTTTCCTGACTGAAGGACAATTTTTCAGCTACATTGATTAAAAAAACAAACAAACTGGAGGCAGAAGGATCATCTTTTCATCTGAAGGCCAAAAAATAGGCCGTCTGTCCACTTTCACCTTTAACCTTTTATCTATGATGCCCTAATTCAGTTGTAATTCACTGTTATGTTGGCAGGCATCATCAGGTCTTCAGTTTGCCATCAATTGATCATCAGTATCGATGCTGACATGCTGCATTACTTCACATCTACACTCGGTGCGTTTGTGAATCTTTTTTCTATAAAACATCGTTTTTCTTTCTGTGTGAAGCGGATGCCAGCATCAGATATCAGACGTTGGATGAACTGATCACAGACTTGTTCTGTTGCAACAAGGATCTGATGGCCAAAAAACAAAAAAAAACCTGTATAATAAAAACCAGGGAACAATTTTTAAACTCATTTCTGCTGACCGTATTAGATTTGTACAAACTCAGAATTCCTGTTTACATTGGATGTTTGGTGCTGCAGCTACTTACTGGTGGTTTGATGAGCAGTGATCAGGGGAACGCCGCCGTGCAACAATACTTCAGTGAAACTTCACCTCCGTTTCGCCCTCCTGCTCTACGGCTGTTCGCTTTCAAACAGCTTTGCTGTGAGTCATCCTGAGAAAGTTTCATAATCTAATAAGAATGATGAAGCTGAGAGAATAATCTACCCACCCTCTTCTGATGGTACGACTTAATTCACTTTCGCTGTTATTGCCTAAAAACATCCCTCACCGCCGCCGTAATCGACTCCAACAGGGAGACAAATTGTGTTTCGCGGCGGGGTGAAATAAAGGTTTTTGTCAAATGATTGAATTCAGCAGCCGTGGAGCAGGCCGAGGAGGTGGGAATAAAAACCCGGCGAATGAAAAGCTTCAGGTTTCTCCGCTGCTTTGATTAAAAACAATAAAGCAGCGACTTGATCATTTTGTGTCCAGTAAGTCACCAGGTTTTGTATCCTCACTTTTATTGAACATGGAAGTTGTCTCGGAGTTTGTGGTGAGCCCTGAGGCCTCGACGTACCGTAAAACTGCTTTTTAGTCTATTCAATATTCAAAAATTCCTCTAATAATCCTACGTTTTTCAATCGAAATAAGTATCACATGTTGTGACACTTATTTTTTTTTTTTTTGTCGTCAGTGATTCTTGATCACAAGTACAATGCTGCAAACTCTGCATTTTCAGAATTATTTTAGTTTAATGACGGCAACTCGCAGCAAAAAACTGTTCAGACTCTGACCGATGTGGTGTTTGCTGTTGGGGGTCATGTCACGATGACCTTTGAAGTGTGTACATGACCCCGTGACCTCGGGGCTTTTGGGGTCAGATGATTTCAATGCAAATATTAGTTGAAGGTTTTTGAGGGATATCGAATCAAAACGACATCAGCATCTTCAATTCTGACGTCTGGACAGATAAGAATTTAAAAGTTTGTTTGAAAAGATGCGGAGAGTTTATGTTATCTGTGGTGAAATAGCTTTTTTTTTTTTTTTTTGCCAGTAACAATGTCAATGTAAATTAAATTCAAATTGAAATTACTGGGAGAAAAAAAAAGAATCTAAATGTACATCTCTGTCCAACGCTAGCCTGAATGATCAACTTTCATTTTAGTGCTATGTTGCGTTTTGCTTTTGCACCAATCAAGCCAATAAGCAAAAAGAATAGAAATTAAGAAAATATTAACTCCAATGACTGAAAAGAAACTGAAAACTGGAACACCAATGATGAATCATTTCTGTGGTCCAATTTGAATCAGTTATACGCATTTATTCACAACAAAAACATTAACGTCACTAGTTCAGTTGTAAGCTGCAGGATAACCTTTTCTTTTCAATGAAACATCATGAATTAATACAAAATAGTGCAATTAACATTTGCAAATATACGATGAACAAAAACCTGAATTGGAAAAGTGAACCTTTCTTCATGCAGTTTGGGGTACGCTGAAACACCTTCCAGCACTTTCAGTCATGATCACTTTTTTTCTTTATTTTTGCGGAAGGCAGAAAACAAAGCGGCTCCCACGACTGCGACCGCCACGCCGGCGGCGGCGACACCTCCAATCACAGCCGCGGTTTGAACCTGCAAACGACGAGCCAAACGTTAGGCTACTGAAACACGGCGAGCGTTTTACCAGACACTTCAAACAAGCTAGCAGCTCTGAGGGCAGTTCAGAAGCCAGTCCAGTCACGTCAGGAGGCTCTGAAACCAGAGGAGGTCAGTTGCCTTCGACTGAGATATTGTTGGGTTTTTGGTCCTTTTTAAAAGCAGGTGGCATCATGGGTAAAGAAATCTTGAAGCCCAGATTTGTCTTTCAGCTGATCAATCACCCAAAATACACAACCAAACCAGTTACAATGTGACTGGTTTGGAGTTGCCATAACAGACTCTGATCTCTGATCTACAATCGTGACTTTTTAAAACCTGCCCTGTCTGGAGGAATCAGGCAAAACCAGGGCAAACTATTGAGCACCAAAGATACTGAAAATGTTTGACTCAATGTTTAACAGAGATCCACTTTTTTCCCCACTTCTGACCGACATTTGAGGTTTAGTGTTGGTTCATGCCGGTCCCACACTTAAAACGGTTCTTTTTTTTAAGCACAGAGTTAAACGTACTGAATTACCGACTATTTATTTGCTAACTCTGCACCAGAGCAGCATATTTAAATACAACAGTTTCTAAATGTTTGGCCAAACATTTAGAAACGACTTTAATTTGTTCAGTCAGTGCAAATGGAAAATAAATAATAAATGAAGTAAAACTGACTAAAACAATAAAATGTAAAACATGTCAAATAAACTATAGCAAACCTCCAAGCCTTTAGAAAGTGGTTCAGAAAGTTCAATTAAAAATAAATCTAATGTAAAATGAATAATAAAGCATGATGGTGATCAGAACAAAAAGCATAGAACTAGACTGAATAGATTTACCATTATGGATCGGGAACATTGTCGTGATGCCCAATCTAAATGTTTTTTCAATATCGAAAGCAATATCGCTGTTAATATTGGATCGGTGCCTCTCTAATGTTCAAAAGGCAAGACAAATTTTATATGTGTCGTACCTTTCAGCAACGAGGCCTTTCAAAACGCTTCACAGCATAAAAACACAAAAATACATAGAACACCTCGGGTTGAATCCCAGAATCATCACCAAACTGTTTTGCTTCCGGCTTGTTCTAAAGCAGGTATCAAAGCTTTATCGAGGAGATGTCATAAACATTTGCTCACCTGTCGTGATTCCGGTTTGCCGTATCGAAGCTCGGTGACGAAGTGTTCGCTGTTATGAGTGGCGACGTTGTACGGACGCTCCCGGCCCACCATCTTCACGGCGTTGCTGACGATGGCGCTGGGGTCAAGAGGCCGGTACTTGTCGTCCAGGAGGTTGTTGACCTGGAAACGGTTGGACCCGACCACTTCCCAGATCCTCTGACGCCTCACTGTAGCGTCGCTGCTCTCGAGGGAGGCGAGCACCTCGAGCAGATCTCCTCCTCTGTGCGCTTTATGGGACATAGATGAGTAAAGGCTTATTTATGTGGCGTATTTCCACAGACAGATGTCGCACAATTGTTCCCGACAAGGACTGACCCGCCAAAATGCACAGTGATACCGGAAGGTTCGACTTAGTGAATTCTTCCATTTCAAGAAGAAAGTCGTAATATTATAAGAACAATAAAGTTTAAATAACAAATTGAATCACTTGTAATATGAGAATGAACTCATAATAAAATGATAAAGTCAAAATATTGCTAAAGTAAATAATAATAATATTTACAATCATTATAGGAGACATAATAAAATTACATGGATTATAGCAAAATTGGGTGAAATATAGTGCAAAGTGGAACTTAATGCCCTGCTACTTGTTGGACATAAGTAAACGATATTAGCAGAGTAAGGTCACATAATAAAGAAAATTATTTTTAAAAAAATTTAATAAAATAAGAGTGAATGTTGAGCATCTTGTGAAGTTTTATTTTGGTTTGCGTGTAACAAATGAGAAAATAATCTTTTAATGCATAGACCTGAAATTATTATCAGTCACATGACTTTTGCTTTAAATGATAGAAAATAAGCTTAGCAAAAATTAACAGCTAAATTTCTAATAGACAGTTTATGAACCTCAAGAAGCTTAAATGAGGAGCAAAGCTAAATATCATCAGCAAATATATGATATGAAATATCACTAAACTGCTGAATGAAGTGATATATTCCTAACACAAAATAAGTCCGAGCACGAAGCCCTGAGGGGCTCCACAGAGCAGCTCTTTACCTTCAGACATAAACTGGTTCACAGATAAAACTCCTATCAGAAAATGTAGAAAATAACAGACCAAATTCAGAGAGAGACAATTAAAGCTGAAGATTTAATTTCCACAAAATCTCTTAAATGATGAGAGTAAGTTAGGATGTTGTGACACTTTCACACAAAACCTTCACTTACTTGAAGGAATTAAGTGAACGACTTCATTTCCTCCGATGAAAACAGCCCAGTGGTGATACACCCCACCGAAGATTTCTATCAGGTCCCCCGGCTTCGCATCTATGTCAAACTTTAACAGATTGAGAAAAAGAAAATAGTTGGAGGTGAAAAAGTACAGAGTTAAACACAGACACAGACAATATGTGGCGTACTGTTGCCTTGCAGCAAGTAGGTCTTTGGTTCGATTCTCAGCCTGGGGTCTTTCTGAGCAGCACCCCTCATTACCCCATAAAGAACAAGGGTATAAGAAAATGGGGGGATGGATAAAGCATATCTTTGACTGCAAATAGTAATCTATTAGTTAGCTGTCCAGCACAACATTAACGGTTAAGGATTAAGTGAGTTCTATGTAAGAAAATAGGCCGCAAAGTTGCTCATAACTTTTCCTTTTCTCTTCAGCTAAAAGCCTTCAGAAATAGATCAGAAAGAACGATAAACAGTGAGACAGGATACTTGTCAGTAGAACTTGGTGGGTCTCACCAGAACGGGAGCCATGTCTTCACCCGACGACTTCGCAGAAACTGAAACTTACACTAACTTGTTCCAGCAGACACAGATTAAGTAAACATGCTGAACACAGTGTAGGCACAGTACACGGCCTCACGCTGTGAATCATTAACCGCACCATGCCCGTGTTGACCCAGTCATTTAGTTTCCACTGTAGACTTTTGTTTGCAACCAAACAACTTGCCGATAATTTGCTTTTAATAGAAATGTTAGCAGAGATGCCTTGAAACAGTATATTCACGTCCAAGGAACAATCCCAAATATGATACTAACTTCAATAATTTTGTGTCAGACAAACAAAATGGAAACCGAGGAACGCATCAGTGAGAGAGATTTGAAAAGGTTGAAGCTGGTGATCAGCTGCAAAAACACAAACTCTTCCCATGTGCTTTTTAGTGCAAACATCTTTTGTTACGACCCAAGATAAAAGGAACCTTTTATAGTTCATGTGTATTAATGATTTTGATGATGGCACTCATCAAAACATAATGTTTGTTACTGGTTTTCTTGTGGTTGGTTATGGTATATTTTGTGCCTTTATATTTGTGTGTATTTTATTATGTGAAGCTCTTTGAAACCGATTTGATGCTGAAATCTTCTAAACAAATAAACCTGATTGAAAGGGAGCCAGCGAGAAGAGAAAAATCTGACATCCAGGAACACTTTGAGATGATCGCTCGCAAGATTCTTAAAAGGAAGTTAATTAACCCCTTCACCTCCAAAATTAGCACCTTCTTGAAATTTTCTCTATTTCTTTGTTCTGCAATGCAGAAACAGACTTAAAGCTCATGGAAGAGTAAAACGGATGAGTAAAAATATAAGGGATCAGATCAGAGAGCCAGCTAGGAATCCAAGAAAAAGAGAATTTTAGTTTTTCAGGAGGCAAATCAAAACCCAAAGAATACTGTCTGCTCCAACAAGCACTGCGCTCCAAATACACTAAAACAAACGTCTATTGTCAAACCACAAAAGAAAACAGCCACTGACAGTCAACATATCCCAGGACTGGCTACAAATAATTTTAATAACCAAAAAATAAAACATTCGTTACATAGGATTTACTTCTCTCTCCTGTTACTAAACATGAGTTTAATAAAAAACTTTGTGACAAAGCAGAAACTTCCTTCCCACCATCCTATTGTTGGCATGGTGACGAGTTAATTAGATGTCCCTCTGGGGTAAATTTCTCCGTCAACGACGACCAAACATGAGATGGTCTGACTTTGCAAGGAATCCTAATGGAGTTTATCTTAATGTGTGCGCCTTAAAAAAAAAACATATTCACAGTCTGACCACATCAACTCTTTCAGAACGAAGCAGAGAGATCAGACTGATGAGAATCTCTTCAGAATAAATGAGGGTCATCTGAAAAAATGTCACCACATTGATAATAAGTTTCATCTTTCCTACTGAGCAACTCTTGACGTGTCATCAGGTCTGTCAATGCAATATTAATACAATATTAAAATATCTCATCTTCGCACGCTGCTTTTTTTAGCTTCCTCTCATAAACAGAGCACTACTTCGATTAATGTACTTTGATAATGGATGTGGTAAACAGAGGTAGTGTTTGTATTGTTCTATTGCTTTAATTATGATAAAGAATATGTGAACTAAATGTAAAAACAGAATCAATGCCACTCTTAGCTGAAGTGTAGCCGTTCTTTTGTTATTATTGTGTTTTACTTCAAGATGGTTTTTATGTTTTACTTTTACACTCATGTTAAAACTACGCTGAAATATGTCAAAGTGGTTTCTGCTTTATCGTAGAGAATTATGCGGCAATAAGAACTTGTGTGTCTGCTTTGAAGTTTATCTTCTCCCTGTCGGTGGGGGGGGGAATGTTTTAAACGTTCAGTACAAATATCAGCTGAAAACATGCCCGCAAATATGAAACAAACGACGTGTTTTTTTTTTGTTTTTTTTTGTCCTCGCACTCAGTAACGTTTCAGAGTTGACATGCCTGTTAGTTTGATTTCTCCCCAGGTCCCCATTAAGTGCTTAAAAGAGGAAATCCTCAGTCGGAGCATCACAGGGGGCTCGCTGGCCGTTTCAGCCCTGCAGGATGTTTGGAGAAATTCCCTGCGCTCACATCAACACGGCAGTGTTTTTTATTAAATACAGCTGTACTACAGTATATCCTGCACCTCTGCCAACAATCATTTTCCTTCCTCTTTCTTTTTTCTTCTTCCTCTGATTCAGGATTTCTTGTTCACTCTTGCACTCCGTGGCGGCTCCCTTCACCTCGCTGACAGTAGACAGAAGCCAGAAAGGAGACGTGAATCCAGAATTTCTGTGATGGCTCCTTTTCTGCTGCAGCAGCTGCGGAGCTTCGCGTCTCGCCAACTTTTGTCTTCCTGTTCTTCATCCCATCGTTGCGAATGTCAGCGTTACACTAGCATCTCTGTGTTATTGTAAGGCAGCTGCAGGATTTTTGTGATGTCATATCATGTAAAATTCCTACAAGCTCCAGTTGTTTCTGGTGAAATGAAGGCACAGCAACCTGGTTGGGACGATGTGAGTTTTGCATTTTGACATATGAACGTCTCTACTGCTGTGTGAGTGATGTTCACCCAGCCACCTGCAGTGATGGAAGTTAGGTGAACGGTCTTAAAGTTTGATTTTAATGGCAAAAAAAGGGAAGTGAATGATTCAAGAAATGTCACAAATTACATAATTTCACCAGAAAAAAATCATTTTGACTCATCTAAAAATTTTCTGCTTCAAAGGTTTTGACTCCAAATTTTTTCAAGCAAATCTCCAACTTTTCAAGCTCAGACATGTCATTGTTTCTCCCAGAACATTTCTGAGATTAATCTCAAAGTTCAATATTTGGTCCATTTCCTTTTTTCAGTTCATGTAAATGGTTCCGGGGAAAAAGCTAAATTTTTTACGCTGAACACAAAAGAGCTGCTTTACACAAAAACCTCCGAGGCAGCAAAAGTGCGGATAAAAGTCACTTTTTATTTAACAAGCTGTCTTCTCGGTGCAGTGGGACAGATTTCAACCAGCATTCAGTCGTGTGTCAGTGGTCAGGATTTATCAGCTCCGCTGGCTGCCGGTCCCCAGGTGAACAGTCTGCTTGTTAGTGTGGCTGTTCCAGTCTGGAAGAGCGATGTGGGACCAGCTCGCTTTTGTTCTCTGACTGATCGGGAAGTTAGGAAGTGATCACAACATGGCTCCTCTATTGACCTTTCAACAAGCGTTATACAGAGAAGTAGCTCCTTTAATGAGCTCAGCTGGTGCTCAGTTCCTTCTGGTATTTGCTAATTGCTGCTGGCTAGTCTGAAGGAGCTGAGTGAGGGAGAGCTGCTCTGTGAGATGGAAGCTTGGAAACTTTAATCAGAGGAGGAGCTGCGCCTTGAAGGCAGAAAAGTTTCTGCTGGAGTAGAGATCATGCCTTTCAAATCCCGAAACACTAAATAAGACCTAAACCATCATCCTACCACCTCTATGTTTGATTTTTTGCTGTTTTTCCAAAATTCTTGGCTGGCTTTACGATACACCTTCCAAAAAGTTCCACTTTTATCCTGCCAGCCGAGACGGTATTTAACCGTAAGTAAAAACACAGATTAAGGAGATCCTCAGTCGCTTCAGCACATCCTAAGGAAGGGTTTGTCTGTCTGTGTGTGCTGATTTATGGCAGAAAGTAAGGATAGCTGTAGAATAATGCAAAAGATTGCAAATCATTCCCATCTGCTGGGCTTGAAGATGTGTTTTTTGCGATCTGCTGTTTCAATCCACTGTAGAAACGGAGCAGATGGCAAAAGATGTCGAGAAAAAAATAAATAAATAAAGCAGCTTATGAATTTTCAACTTGGGATGACTAAGATAATTGCTAAGTATCCTTTTGGAGGAGACAAATACAGCCGAGCAAGTTCCCCTCATGATGCTAAGTGGGTTACCGACAACTAGAAGTCGACTTCCTTCATTTCTCTGAAAGCTGTTTGCTGCCAAAAAATGTTTCTGTTCACAGTGGCAAGAAGAATAGAAAAAACAAAAGAGAAAAGATGACAGCCACTGTGGAGCTGTCATTTCTGAAGATTAGATGACATGTCAATGAGTGTTTTGCATCTCGAGCCAGAAAAAACACAGAGCAGCTCAGCAGCATGAGATGCCGATTGATTTTTTTAAAAAAGGATCTCTTGTTCCTCCTCGCAAACTTCCTGCTCTCAGCCAATAAGCCAGCAGAGCGCAGAACGCGCCGTAGCCAACATCTCCAGGGACTTACTGACCCTGACAGCAGCTCTGACCTCCCTCTGCAGGCCGGACTCAATGTTTTGTTTTCTTACTCTCTGTGTGATCAGACCCTCCACTGTGTTAATGAGAGATTTGGTTCAGAGGTTAATAAAATCTGGTCATTCTGAAATATTAAACGTGCCTAAGACGTAAAAAAATAAAAATAATAATTTATGTCTGTTAGTGCTTTGCTTCACCAATATAAAAAATAAGGCTCCATGTTCTGTCAGTTTACTCAGGGAGAGTAATCTGGCAATGGCATGATGAAACATCAGAATGTAAAATTTAGAAAAATTCAACCTATATAAATTTTTTTAAGTAAATTTATTCAGCAGGCAACAATCACTAACACAAGTACACCCATTCATGTCTCATTACTTGTGCAGGCTGCCACTGGCTTTCATTAATTTCTAACCCTGGCCTTCTCGCTAACCCTAAGCACCTCTCGGCTGTAGCTAACACTCGCTCTAACCTAAATTTATTTCACATCTTAGTCCCAAACCGAACCCACAAATTATGTGTGGCCAAGAAAAATGTCCTCACAGCGCCAGTTTCATGTTAACTTTTATGTACATAAAAACCAGTACTTGCACACACTCACGCACACACGCATAGTGTCCGTTCTTATGTTATCTAAAAGCGAATGTGTCTAAGCTACCAGACCGAACAAGAAAAAGAAACTTATCTGTACTGTGTGAAAGTGTCAGAATGAGCCGACAGAAGGTGGATGATGAGTCACAGAGAGATGCCTCTGCTCAGCCTCGGTGGTCTCCTTGGAGAGCTGCTCCATATGACAGACAGGAACGGTAGATGTTTTAACCATCTGGTGAGAGCTGAGACGCCACCAAATGCT